CACTCTTTCATAGTTTTTTTACTTCTATCCACCTCTTTCTTGGAGTTATGTACATATTCTGATGTTGATCATGACAATAAACCCACAAATCACAAGTATGTTATTAGTTTCTTATTTTTTTTAGTAGTTCTCTTATTTTTTAGAAAAGCAAGAAATAATATGTTGTTTCTCAATTTTCAACCAAAGCAGAGTATTGTGCTTTAACATCTACTACTAAAAAGATTGTTTGGTTACACTGGTTACATGCAGTTATGGAAATTTCTCTTTTTTCATCCCATTTCTATATATTATGACAACTAGAGTTCTCTTTAAATTGCTCACAACTCGTTTTTTTATTAATAAATTAAGTACATTGAAATTGATTGTCATCTTACTTGTCATTATCTTAAAATATAGCATCATTACTTTGTCTTTTGTTTCTTCTTCTTTATAGATTTCTTTACCAGGTTGTATTTTATTTCCTGCTTTTATTTCCTACTTGAAAAACTCATGATGCTTGCCGATTGTGAGTTTGAGAGAAGATATTAAAAAATATAGAGTTATTTTCTTTTATTATTTATTAAAAATAAAATAATATTTTTATTTTTCTATTAAACATACCTCCCATAAATTAAAGTTCTAAAAAAAAATCCCAATAATTCAGCCCATGAAATGACCAAGTCAAAACTAAACTAACGCATCAGCATCTCTCAAATTGACTCTATATATCCTATCGTAGAAAAATAGGACAACATATTGGCAGCAACATTACAACCTCAACAGACATTAAATGGCTATCAGCTAAGAGCTTAAACGTGTACACCCTATCTCCTTTCATTACCATGCTGAAACCAACCCAGTCGGAGCAACCTTTACTGCGACATCCAAACGCACGTCAGACCTTTAATTCCTGGAAGAGAATTAAAGCTTACCAGCCTAAAGAAATTGACACGATGAAAAGATTAATGTCTTTTCCCTAGTGTATGAGTGTCGAAGTAATAAATAACCTGGCAAGACCGGGGTTGAACCACAGGGAGGTTAATTGTACAAATTATAAACAATAATTATAAACAACAACAATAGTAATAACAACAACAATAATAGTAGTAGTAGCAATAAGAATACTAATAATAATAGTTGTAGTTGTAGAAGTAGTAGTAGTAGTAGTAGTAGTAATAATAATAATAATGAAAAAGAACAAGAAGAAAACTTGATGAGAATTTTGAGATGGAAGATTATCGTAAGGATTAAACAATGGTAACAATAAATGTCAAGGTTAGAGGATCCACTAATGGTATGTCAAACAAGTATAGTATAAACTCTTATTATTGAATTGGAAACCACACACAAAGGAGGTTCCAATCAGATTATATATTGTTAACATGATTACATTAGTCATCTTATTCAATTAATGCTAATACTTGTAAATCTCGTCAAGCATTCATGATTATAACTTATGTTAACAACAAATCAAGTTCCTTTCATAGCTCAAGTGTCGGTTATACCATACAATATGGGCTATGAGAGTGCCAAGTATTTGTTGCACCAAGTGTTATACAATATAAATCAAGATTAGTCATTTAACAAGCAAAGTATTAAAGAGTGAATAAGATAACAAATACAAAACATATTAGTATCAAACATTAAAGTTCATCTTAAGTTTACACTATACTTATTCTTACACCATTAGTGTAATATTTTCACGTTGACATAATAAACTTAACTAAACATAATGAAAGAAAGAAAAATAAATAAACAAAATAAGAACATAAATAAAATAAAAGTTAACTAAGTAAATAAAAGAAAATGAAAGCCATAACCTTGATATTAATGAAAGTAAAGCATAAACATTACAAAAAATATAAAAAGAGAAAGCAAGAGCATGATCTTGATCTGGAAACCAAGATGTCTAAATGCATGACAAATGCCTCCTTTTATAGGCCAAAATTGAGAACTATTGATTTGATGACTAATTGATGAGTGGGTTACCAACTCTTGATTTGGTGACAATCCTTATCTTCTTTTATCTGTCCAAAACGTCATTGATAACGTCAAAATTGGAGCCACTTGAAAACATGAAAGTTGTAGAAAATTGTATCAGCTTTTTTATGTAAAAAATTCAGGTTATTTGGAATTCTAAAACTCTAGATATGGGCCAAACACTGAACAATACTCGGGCTGGAAGATAGATTCAGACTTCTTTGTTGTTGCTATAATTTGGACTTGAAAATGATTTTTTTAAATCTTGGGCTCCATATGAAAGTTGTAGGCCTATGTCTTATCTTTCCATCCATATAAAGTAGACCTAAATCTGAGATCTACAGCTCCAGATATGACGCAATTACCGAATAGTGTTCCTATTTGGATTGCACCGGCATCTCTTTTCTAAGTTTGACCATCTTTTTGTCGTTTCAATTTCAGTTCTTAAATTCATCAATTAATCCTTTTATTTATGTGATAGGCCTGCATTTAAAATAAACATTTACTACAAATTAATAGTATCTTATATTATTAGATATGTTATTATAAAACATGTTTTAGTTAAGAAGTTATTGATACTTTAAATATAAAAATAATAATATAAAATACTGATAAAAATATATTTTTAAATATTAATAAAAAAATATATACAGTTTAATCATATACATAGAATAATGACAGAGAACCTTCTAAGCCCAAACAAGACACTGAAAAAACCAAGCTTCACAGTGAAGAGCCTTCCCACAAAAAGTCATCGGAAAAAGCGAGTCCAGAGAGCCTCAGCATCAAAATAAAAACACAGCTTGCAAGGAGCTGCATGCCCAAGAAGCATTGTTGCAGTGAATAGGAATTCTGTCTCCATGTCTACGAAGACAATCCCTTCTCAATTCTTTGAAGGAAAAGGGAGAATACAAACCACAATGGAACAACACTTCGCAGCAGTGAGCACCATATATACCTGAATATATAGTTTTTGTAAAACCAGAAACTAATTTAAACTTTTTCCATCTTTTTTGGGTTTTTATATTATCACACGTCACAAAATGCCGTCTCTGTTCTCCTTCCAACATGTTGCTCTCTTTTTCTGTTTTTATATTATTATAATTGAATTAAAAAAATTATTATTCTTTTTAGCTCTATAAAAAAATCTTTTACTAAAAAATATTAATGACTTGAATATCTAATTTTATGTTTTAAAAAAATGTTTTGAATTCTGATTCCATTGGATTTTTTTTGTAGCCCTTTTATATATATATTGAAAACTTGAAATAAAACAAGTAGGTTTTTAATTGAATTAGATAATATATGAAATCAGTTAAATCTATTTGATTTGACTAAATTTTTAATAATTTAATTGATATAAACAAATCTAATTTAAATCAAATTAGGTTTAATATTAAGAAAAATTGAATTGATTAAGTGATATAATAACCCGAATAATTTCTCGATTCAATTCCAAAATTAAATTTATAATTATGAACACAACTTGCTCAACTCACAACCCTAAATTGATTTAGGTTAGAAAAGAAAAAAGTTGATTCACTCCCTCACTTCAGCAAATTATGTGAGAAGGTACAGTGATCAACATGTATTTTCAAATGACTTGTGTCATCTTGACTAACAACCCATTCAGCAGTTTAGTTGGATATGCAAGAATTTCTCATGGGTCGGTATGAGTATTGTTTCTCTGCAGACACGATTTAGGAAGAAAGTCCCTTACGCCGCACAACTTTTCCAAACTCTATCACAGCATAGGCCTTTCTCTTCTCACAAATTCAGAAGCCCAACTCAGACCAAACGTTTAGACAAGGCACTCAGGATTCTAGACATTATAACCCCCAAAACAACCGCCCTAACAGATGGCCAGAACCATCTTCGTGTCATTCAGGACTTCTTACAAACACATTCAAATAGAACCAGTGAACAACGTTTGAGCAACGATTTCATATCTTCGAACTCAGATAATGGAGACTTCAGCGTGTTTGATGAAATTCTTGAATCTTCTTTTATAAACAATGATGAAGATTCTAATGCTACGAGCTTGAGTTTCGATGCGAGTGTTTTGTCGAATGCTGTGAGTTCTTGTGCGTCCACGCGGGATCTTCGCGGTGGTATTCAATATCATTGCTTGGCAATAAGTACTGGCTTTATCGCCAATGCTTATATTGGAAGTTCTTTGGTTACTTTTTATGGCAAATGCGGTGAATTGGATAATGCTTACAAAGTGTTCAAAGAAATGCCTGTGAGAAATGTGGTGTCATGGACAGCCATCATTTCTGGGTTTGCACAGGAATGGCAGGTTGATATGTGCTTACAGCTATATTGTTTAATGAGAAATTCAACACTGAAACCCAATGATTTCACATTTACTAGTCTTTTGAGTGCGTGCACTGGCAGTGGAGCTCTTGGGCAAGGTAGAAGTGCTCATTGTCAAATAATTGAAATGGGTTTTGTTTCATATTTGCATATAGCCAATGCTCTTGTATCAATGTACTGCAAATGTGGGAACGTCGAGGATGCATTTCACATATTTGAGAACATGGTTGGCAAAGATATCGTGTCATGGAATTCAATGATTGCTGGCTATGCTCAACATGGGCTAGCAGTGGAGGGGATTGGGCTTTTTGAAAGGATGAAGAGTCAAGGGGTGAAACCTGATGCTATTACTTTTCTTGGTGTTTTATCTTCATGTCGGCATGCAGGTTTTGTTGAAGGAGGAAGGAATTACTTCAATTCAATGGTTGAATATGGTGTGAAGCCAGAACTAGACCACTATTCATGTATAGTTGATCTTCTTGGTCGTGCTGGATTACTGGAGGAGGCTCAAAATTTTATTGAAAGGATGCCCGTATCTCCCAATGCTGTTATATGGGGTTCACTAGTATCTTCCTGCAGGCTTCATGGGAGTGTTTGGATTGGCATACAGGCTGCAGAGAACACGCTGTTGCTGGAACCAGAGTGCGCTGCTACCCACGTGCAGTTGGCGAATTTGTATGCTAGTGTGGGATTCTGGGATCAGGCAGCTAGAGTGAGAAAATTGATGAAGGATAGAAGACTTAAAACAAATCCTGGCTGCAGCTGGATTGAGATCAAGAATGAGGTTTATAGATTTAGAGCAGAAGACTGTTCAAACACTAGAGTAAGCGAAATACATAATGTTTTGGATTGGCTGGTAGATCACATGATAACTTTAGGACGTACGCCTGAAATGCAAGAGGTCAGTGAAGCTATACACGATAATGTGTGTCCATAAGCTCCCATCTTCATCAGTAGTACGCGTCATGCAAAATGACCCTTGCGTGTACTTGTGTACTTGTGTTAATGCCTTGTTTGTGGGAGCTGCACGGCGATGTCAAGATAAAAACCTGGGTTCTAGGTGGGTGGCCAGCAACGGATTCTGCAGTGGCGATACCATTTTGTCCAAGACGTTGAAAGGTGAAAACACTTGTTTTTGCAGCAAAAGAATGGAGCTTAATTTGATTGCTCTCAACCTTCGTGGAGTTAGTTGCTTGTCTTTCAAGCAAACTGATCTCATTTCCACCATCTTACTTCCAATAAAACAGCGCTTATTTGAGGTTCAGTCTCCTTTTTTTGAAGGCTTCACATCGTCCCAATTGGATTTGTAATACTTAAGGTATCTTAATTCACATTTCAATTCTTCCATTCCTATTCAGCATACCAAAATTCAATATGGCTTCTAATTTGGGCACTTCCAATGTGAAAAGGGATAGCTGAACAAGTTTGTTTGCCTCGGGCAACATTTTGGGTGATGATTCTCTGTCATTGTGCATCGTGCTATGCCTGTTATAAAGAGGAACAAGAGGCAAAGAGGGTTTTTTTTTTTTTTTTCCTCTCTTGTTTTCTTTTCCATTTTTTTCTATAAAAAAGTTTGAATCCCAACAAATATTTCAGAAAAAGACGAATATCCAAAATGAAGCGGATTTTCAGGGATGGTATATAAGGTTTGCAAAAGAGAAGCAATAGGACTCTTGCTGGAATGGAGAAAGAACCTCCAATGCTCTGTACTCGAAACAGCCACCAGTTAATGTTAATCCATGCCATTTACAATCTAAAGGTTCACCTCTCGAAATTCTGGGAGAAACAGGAATACAATAGCTGCCAGCTTGTATTCCTTGCATGATAAAATTTGGAACGTTTAATAAATTTAAGAAATCGAAATGTTAGGTTAATCTGAGAATTATTAGGATTTGGATACCTGCAATCATATTCCAAGGAATGACCTCGAGAAATTATAGCAATTTTGTAGCAGTTTAATTTGAGAGTAGACTGCTACACTGACTTCACAAACATCCTGACGGAATTTGGAACAAAATCACAGCCAGACAGGAAGCGCTCTATGTCTTCAGCAACTGGATTTAGAGGAATTCCTTCCAGTAAAACCTGAACACGAAGGCAGATCTTGCTGCATCAGCTTAAAATTACTGGGGAGTTTCATAAAACTAATGTCATGGAAATAGTATTTGTTAAAAAAAAAAAATCAAAATGCAAGAGACAGCAATCTGTAAATGTCAAAAGAAGCTACCAAATGCAAAATGCAACCACAAAATCTGGGTACCATATCAAACACCAAAGCAAAGTTCAGCCTATTTGTGGCTTGATTCTACAATGGCAAAAAAAATTAAGCCAAGCACCCTTTATTTTAGTCTTAAATTCAGATTTGGGCTTCAAGCACTTACTGAAAAGCAGATAGGAGAAAAGAAACAAAAAATCAAACAAATCTCTGCTACATGCAGGTCTACAGACAGAGAAATCCAATAGCTACAAGCCTCGAACAAGCTGCTAAAGGGCTCTCGGTAGTTCACAATCAACCAGAATTATATTAATAATGTTTGCTGTTGCTAATAACTCGGAGTAGCAATGGCTTTCTGATGATATTCCTTGAGCATAAATGAAAACAAATGCATTCAATGTCGTCAACAAACAGAAACGACCTTCCTTTTTTCCCCTTCTATGGGCTGATAGGAAACTGCTTGCAGTATCAAATACTAGAGTGTTCATATTTAGAACATCAAGGAATTAAGGTCCCAAAACTGCTTCAAAATAGTAAATCCTAACAGGATCTTGAGACAATTTATTATGTTCTATCTCCAAAACTGAAAAGAACAATAATCATGCATTGAAAGCCAAATATTGAACAAGAAGAATTATTTCCACATGCGCCTAAAAATTGAACAATGCACTGCTGCATGAATCATTTAAAACTGAAACTGGCAAAGCATCTTGTAAACTGATAATTTTGAGGAATTCTTACAATTAGAGGCAATAAATCAGAAACAATAGGAAGATGCCAAGAAGAATAATCAATTCAATTTGAGATTGGATTCAATAATAGCTAAATTAAAATGCCGGTTGGAGACCCATTTTTACTCCGTCATGGACACCACTTTATCATTAGACACCACTTTATCATTAGAAAGAGCTCACCAAGAGAGATTTAACACAACTATAAAAAGTTGCTCACAATCACTAAAGAAGATCGTGTACACCATCAAAGTAATAACTTAAAAAGTAAATCAAATAAAATACGGTGAAGTAAATAATTTTTTTCAAAAAAAATACTAAATCTGATAAAGAATAATAAATAAAAAGACTCGAGATAATCCATGTTATTTTCAAAATGAGTAAAATTCTTATAAAAAAAATTAAAAAAATAATAGAACCCAATTTATAATTAAATAAATGTTAAAGAATGAAACTAAAAAAAACTTAAAAAAAAAGAAGCAAAACCTATTGAAATTTCTAAACTTGGATTAATCATTTTTTTTATTATTTATTTAATTATAAATTTTATTAAAAAAAAAGAAGTTGTAAAGACTTTTTGAATGACACCTAAAATCCACTAGTTGATCGCTAAATGCTACCGTACTTGTTGACTAAACTGCATAAAAACTACCCTAATATTGATGCCTACAACATATATATTATTTATTTATTATTAATATTTATGTATTTTATATGATTAAATTTTTTCTAAGTCAACTTAATTATAATAAAAAAATTATAAGAAAAATAGAAAAAACCCTGGAGTTTCATTTAAAGAATTCTCGCTTGCAAGGTCCTCACATTGACAAGAAGGATAGCCCCAGATATAACTACAATATGAACAAGCAAGCGCGCAGGACTACAAGGAATGGCTGCAGCCCACCTAACAATTTGTAAACGTCACACGCAACTGGGTATTTTTTTATTTTATCTTTTTTATTACAAGGGTCCACAATGATAATGCACTGTACTTGTTTATTTCTCTGGCTTTGGGCTTATCAGCAATAATTTATATCTTCTGGGGGAATCTTATTGGCGCAACGTCCTAAGACAAAAATCCATAGACAGGGGCCCCTAAAACTGGCAGGCAAGCAGACACCTTCTCCTAAAAGACTCGAACCCATCCTGTTCTCACATCACCTGTCCCTCCGTAGGTATTTATCCTTAGCCTACGGTGGCTTCTGATGACCTGTCATCGATGTTTCATTGTAGGACTCAGATAGAGCACGACCAGTTCTAGCCTGGCTGGTGTCACCCTGTAATTAGTGATGACTAGCTAGGTGCTCTCGCTGTGCTATGTTACAATATATATATATATATATATATATGGTTCCAAGTTAATTTTTAAATGATTTTTTATTTTAAAAAAATAGAATTTAAATATCCTATAGAAAAAAATTTACTATGAATTCATTTTTTTATTATTAATATATTTTTTAACAAAAAAAATATATCTTTAGGTGTTTATTGCATAGAAACTATAAACAAGTAAAATCAATATTAACAGTTTAAAGTAAAAAAAAATTTTTATTAATGAGTTCCTTTTGTTTTACAATTTGTTTATTAGAAGTATTGTTTTTTAACAAAACTTTACTATAAAATTAAAATAAATTTTTAATAAAAAAAATTAATTGATAATTTTGATGTGAATATATTAAAAAATGTAATAATAATACACTTGGTGAAAAAATAAAATAATAAATATGAGATTTAACATATGTAGAAAACTATACATATTAGGTTTATATATAATTTCTTGAAAAGACATTTGGTAATATTACCATAAAAGTTGCTAATACTATTTAAAAATAATGAAATAACATAATAATTATTTAAACATCATTTCTAAAAGTAATTTAATTATAAATTATGATAATAAAAAATAAAGAGAAAAACTAAAAGGCAAGCATGCATAAGATGGAAAAATAAACATGTGTGCATGCTTAGCTCATTCGATAACCCATATATATTTGGTTTTTATTTTTATTGAAGGTGGACAACATATTATTCTTTTTAATTTATTTTTAAATAGGTAAATGATTCATCATCTAAAAAGGCAAGTGACATACCATCTATTTACATCTTTTTTTTTTATTAAACTTATGTGATAGAAAAAAACTAGGATCCAAGTTTATGTACCCAAAAAACATAAATTCTAATTATTTTCACTTAAAAAACATAAGTAAAATACATTAAGTCTCTATAAGCTCATTTCTAACAATAAAACAAATCCTAACTAGCATAAAAACTAAAAAAACAAAAACTTAAATATGTTTTTTTCAACATATTGAAGGTTATAATTACTTTCATCTCTGTTAATGTTAAAGCTGAATTCATAAATATCAAAATAAATTTTATGGTGGCTAAAATCTAGCTATCCAAAAACTTTATCTTCCTTTAATTTTTTTTTTATGATTTTATTTTTCTTTCAAGATTCAAAAATTAAAACATAAAATAAATAAAGTCTGAGACTTAATAAAAAAACTCAAAACACAAGGGATCAAATGTAAAAATTAATAAAATAAAGGATTAAAGTGTAAATTGAAAATAAGTCAAAATTTATGGTGCGGGGGTGTTAATACTCCAACCCTGATTTTTCAATCTGACTGAAATATGTTCTAATAGACGAAACATTGTTTCCCACCTTGATTATGTGTTGTCCATTTTATTTAAAAAACACAAAGTCCACTCATTAAAATAAATAAATAAATAAATAAAAATTAACAAGAGTGCTTAAGCCTTTTTCTTTTAGAATAGGTGCACAGTTTCGCCCTTCCAGACCCAACAACACCTTCCAGACCTAACAATACCTAGCCTGGGCTTATAAGCAGAAATGCTCGGGTCATCATTTGGAGTCTAGGCACAAAAGCTTCTTTCACTTGGTCTTTAATTTTTTATATTTATTAAAATGATGCTCTTTAGATAAACAATCACATATGATATTTAAAAATGCATCATATGATTTTGTTCTTTTTAAATAATATTTTGTTCTTTTTAAATAAAATTAGAGCTTTACTTTGTGAATAAATTATATATGGATATAATATGTAAATTTTTTATAAAAAAAAATTGCACATGAATATTCAATGAGAATATATATTGCTATTTTTTATTATAAATATTTATATAGTTTTCATGAATTAATTATTATTATATTGAAATTCTCTTTTCAAATTTGGTAAGTTTTTTTTAAAAAATGTTTTTATTAAAAAAGATATGTTTAAGTCAAAGTAAGAAAATTAAATGAATAAGGAAAAGAGGATTTGGACTCAAGAAATACATTGTTTTTTCTCATGAATTTAAATTAATAAAATTCTTGCAAATATTTATTTTAATTACCTTAATTTATTATTAAAAAAATTATGTTGTTATTAAAGAAAACATGTTTCATAAAAAAAACACATAAAT